TTACTTTGCACACGAACTATTCAAAACAAATACTCAATATATTAATGGACAAAACTTTATTTTACTTTATTAAAAGAACTTCACTAAGAAATATGACTTTTTATTTGTAATATTATGACTTGTAATATTAACTGAAAGACTGCCAAATCTTGTGAAGATATACCCAATATATATAGTTATAAGTATTAAATTGATGTCAACTTTAAACGAGTACAGAAGGTCACATGACTTGGTCAAATTGACCGACCCTGTGTCTGAAGAATTAAACTGACATTACTGGTTAATTTCTCCAACTCCTTTATAAACAAGCACTTCTTACTGACAACTCAAGAATGCTGGGATCAGCAAACAGTAAATAAGTAAGCTTATTTTAAGTTCCATAAAAAGATAATTTTTCACTTCATAACACTTACAATCACAACCAGCATGCATTTGAAATATAATATAAGTAAAACATAATCAAAAAGCGTGTTTCTTAACAATGTAATGATACAGTAAAACATCACTATATAAATACATTATCTGAAGTATATATATGTAGTTTATATAATGTAACACTCACACACTTCAGCTTATTATTATGGTTGTATTTTTTAAAATACCAAGTTTTCACAAAACCAATAAAGTTTTACACATTTATTCAAACAATCTATAACATAAAGGAAAAGTGTTTACATTCTATTCTATTCTTATGAAATCTAAACATAAAATTTCCCAGATATGTATGAATTTATTTTAGGTTTTAAGAAACAGGCATTTTAGCAAAACAAATATAATGAAAACTCCATGTAATTTCAGATTACTGGCTGCATAGAATGTTGATGAAGACACCTGGGTGTAATGAAGTTACTGGATAACAACATTACTTACCTTACAATACTGCATTAATGCAAGCATTCTATGTAAACTTTATGAAAGTGTCATTTTTCTTTCCAGATTTGCTTCTCAGCTATATTGTTTGGATAACTGGTCTTATTGAATCTAAAAGTCAAAATGATTTCTTTCAATCGATCAAAACTATAGAAACTTCCACAACACAATTTTTATACACATAATTCCAACAGTGAGTGTAATTAAAATGTTCTATATAATACCACACAAACCTGCATGGCTTTTCTTGCTTGTTCCTTTCCTTTACTCTTCAAAATACGGTCAGTGAGGAGTAAGGAATTGGAATTCTGAAAGCCTTCCAAGATGCAAACAGCTGTGATGTCTGTAAAACATAAAAACCATAGGAGTATTAACAGAACATTTATAACAATACCAAATATTTCTTTAACACAGGAATTATCATCAGCTGAAATGAAAATATATCATTTTAAAGTGTTCTATACAAAAAATAAAAACTTCTTTGGAAAAAAAAAAAAAATTAGTTTTGACACAAACTCAAGTAAAATCAAGTTTTTCATTGTAATCATAAATAAACACCAAAGAGAAGGTCATTTATCTAAATAGCAACTATTCTTTAAATTTATATGTAATGTTCTGTAGAATAATAAAGGGTGGGTATAAATATTTACTTTTCTCAATGATAGGTGTGTAAGTAGAGACTCAAGTGATCAGTGATATGATGGAAAACAATTCTCATAACAAGCCTACACTACTAAATTACAAAAACTAGCTAAGAGTACCCGATAAGGAAGCAAAAATATATATATAAAGATCAATGTTAGATAATGTTCTCTTTTCTTCTTTTTTTTTCTTTTTATTAAGTTCCTAATGACCTCATAAGATGCTAATTACATACCCTGCTTTGTGGAAGGTACTAATTAACTCATTTAGCTGATTAAGTACTTCTGTCTTTAAATTCTAAGGAAAAAGCCTATAGAAAAATGGAAAGTTAACATTTTCCTAAACTGAAAATGTACTTCCGATAGATACCTCCTCTCACAAAAGAGCTTTTCTCGATTAGTACTGCCCTCTATTGGTGCAAATTTTCAATGCTTGTCACTAGCCTTCCACCTCCCACTTCTGCATATTCACAGGTATATGATTATACAGCAGCTCTCCACCAATCGAAACACGACACAACCCATATTGTAACCTTTCCACTCGTTAATCACTTCAAGATTGGTTAGAAGACCTACACCACAAATCACAAAAAGTAGGGAGGCTGGGTGGAAATGTGAGGGGAAGTAAGTATCTATTGGAATACATTTTCAGTTTAAAAAAATGTAAACTTCCAATACAATATTACATCTTCTCACAAAATAGGTAGAATCTCACATTAAACTAGTGGAGGGCCGGTGAAAAATTTATCCCCCTTTAGGAAGTGCCCAAAGAGAGACCAAGAGGAGTGGAAACAAAAAAGAAAATACCACATCTTAGTGGGAGACTGCACCACATCTGATCCAGGTATACTCTTTGCTCTTTTATGACTGTGTCACAGACATAAAAAATAGAAAAACATGAAGGAATCCCATGATATGTATTACCGATTAATGGAACCCCTGGGTGTCAAGTGGCTAGGGTATGAGAGGCTGTAGTGGTAGTTCAACCTCATCCAGCACCTGTGTAATCTGGAATTGTACAACAGTTCCACGGTAGGCAGAGGATCACCTACCTCTTCACCTCAAAACAGAAATTTGTAGGGAAGAAGCTTCTGTACTAAAACTTGTTTCCACCTGCACACATTTCCAATCCAACCGATCCACCACTGTCAAATCTGTCAAATATATATACATTAATATGGTGTAATGCTTTTACCAAAACCTGATGGCATCTGCAATTGTACATCAGGTCCGTAGTAGAAAGTGCTATATGCCATCCACCCCCGCAGAATGCCACAGCCCTATTCTAAACTGAATGGTATAGTGCATCACTCAGGAGGACAGGCCTGCATGGTCCACCACCCCAGCAGCTAGGAACTGGCAAGGACTCTCATACTCCACTAGAAGAAAGGAGGTACAAACACATTGGAAAGGATGGAGGACCCCTCCACCAGCGACAGTGCAATGGGTGAAACAGATACCCTATTTTGAAAAGCAGAGCTACCACATCGACAGAGTCAATCAACTAACACCTAGCGGCATCTGGAATTATACATCAGGTCCATGGTAGGAAGAGCTACAATGTAACTGACATTAAGCATGGTCACAAGATGGTCAGTGCGGATTTTTTTTTTTAAAGTATACCTGGTCAGGAACCACTCACCACAGAGTGGGATCCACAATACACTAGCAAAAAGATCCCTGTAAACAAAGAAATAACAAAAATATAGCAAAGAAAAACTAAGTCCGTAGTATAAAGGAAAACACTGACACATTTGCAAGCAAAAACATGCATGTCTGTACAGTACTACTACTACCAGTCGAGAAGTAATTAACAAGAAGAAATGTGGAGTGGGCGCGTGTTACGATTGGGGTTATGTCGCACTCCTATTGGTGGAGAGCTGCTGCATAATCATTTACATGTGGAAAAGCAGAAGGTGGAAGGCTAGTGGCAAGCATTGAAAATTTGCATGGATAGAGGGCAGTGCTAATCAAAAAAAGCTATTTTGTGAGCAGAAGTAAGGTATAATATCTGAATGTGCCATATTTCACGGTGTTTCTAATCCTCTTTTTTGGGCCAAAATCCAAAAACAAAACAGCTCATGAACACAGTTCGATAGTTTACAGTTACCATATAAAAAATTAAGATAATCAAGCCAGCCAACTGTAGGTGATAGATGCTAATATATATATACACACACAAACATAATGGATTACCTTTATAGTAAGAGGTTAACAAATTTCATCCAGAAAATTTTTTATGTATTTCTTTAAACTTTTTTCCTTATATTTTAGATAATATTTCATATGTATTCACACACTTTTAAATGAAAAGAAAACCTACATGAAGTTCTCACTGTTATAACCTTAAAATATTAAACTATATTTACCATCTAAAGCATTTTTTAGGTCACTTATTGTATCATATGCTTTTGCCCTCCGTGTCAAAGCTTTGATATAAGTATTGTTTAGTTCTATGGCTTTACTGCAGTCACTGATCACTTCAGAAAAGTTTTTCTGCAAAAGAGAACAAATAAGTGCATGTAAAAAAGTTAATATACATATATACAATATATATATACACACAGACACACACAGAGTAAATAGCCAGCCTGGTAAACCCTGGTATTAGACAAAAGACCTCATCAGCACTGGATATAGCAGATATAGTTTGGTTGACATAATATTACATATTCTTCTTTGATTTCACTCATAAATTCTTAGAATAGTAGATTCTTCATTAACCCTATCTGCCCAGGCATCATTTACTGCGCATGACACAAGGTTTTAGTGACTTACATTCAAAATTTAATTAAGATACTTTTTGTTAATGATATACCAATTAGTACAGCATAAAATCATAAGTAATAATCCATATTTTAATAGTACATAAGTTTTAAGTTCTTAGTTTTATAAGGTAATATTTGAAAAAATCCTGAATTTCTCCTAGTGTGACATGTGTGACATATTTTCTCCAGGAATCCCCTCTAATCTATTTTATTCACCTCCCTCCAATAAGTACAAAATTTAATGTAAATTACTCACTATAAAATCATCATTGCTCAGGTAAACCACAAATTTTATAGCCTTCAATCCTGTTTGGTTACAGAGCTATCATATAGAAAATCAGACTCCTCTTACCACACCCACCTGTTACATCCTCTCTTTCAGGATTTGTTAATAGTTTTCTCTTACTCTTAATACTATATTACATATAACCAATAGAAAGCCAAGGTTTTCATATATCAAATGATGTATTATATTACGTTGTTTTCTGAACAGATAATTGTCATTTTCTCTGTTAGTACATGCTTCGTTCCCATGGGAAACATAACAACTAACTTCGATGAATTTGTAACAGCTCTTGTCACATTGTTAGAAAGCCAGAAAAATTGTGATAGTTAGGAAAAATTTTCTGTTTTTTTGCATGTTATTATTCTATATTCTTTGGTGCATTATTTAATTAAATAAAAATTATTTAGTGCATTACTACCATTAGTATAAAAAGAGTAGGGTTAAATGTCATCGACAGCCGACAGCAAAAAAAAAAAAGACCCGGGTAAGTGCTTTATTTCTGATGTTTCAAGTTTGTTCTTTATTTATTATTATAAAAGTAGCTAAAATGTAAAAATAGGGATCTTTTTAGGTCAGTTAAGGTTAAATTAGCTAGAATAAATAATAATAATATAATAACAATGTTTCAAGAGGCACACACGTGAGCAGCTCAGAGTAGCTCATGGATAATGTAATTTGATAGCACAACATGAGCTCCACGTTACCCAAGTGATTTACAACTTATAATGGCATGAATAGTAGTAGTTAGACTTGGCTCAAAGGGTAATAAAATGATGAAATTTAAGTATAAATAGATGTATACTGTTATGAGTTTAACGCTTCTTAGGATAAACAAATGTAGTTTTATGTTACAATTTGAAGCCATTCTAGAAAAAAAAAAAAAAGGGTAATTTAGATTTATTTTGATTTTTTGTTTAGGTGGTTACAAGGTCAGTTGAATTGACCAATGTTGTTTAGAGTTAGGGTAGAGAAAATATCAGATAAAATATAAAATTTGAAATGTATTTAGGAGGTTTTAGAGATTATGCAAATCAATATTGAAATTTTTGAGATGAAAAAAGTATTTTTAATCTTAACATGAAAATCACTTTGCACGCAGACTATTGAAAATAAATACACAAGGTATTCACGGACAAATCTTTTTTTTTATTTTCTTAAAATACTTCATTAAAAATATCATTTTTTTGTATGTGAAATACTTATAATGTCTACTGAAAGTCTGCCAAATTTTGTGAATATATACATACTATATTAAAAGTTAATAATATCAAAACTATAAAGACTTTAAACGAGTACAAAGAGATCACTTGATCGGTCAAATCGACCGAGCCAATGTTGAGAGTTAATCTTCCATAACAGAAAGAAAAATTCATATATACATAGTACATTTTTTATGAATCTTCCAGAACAGAAATAACTGTTCATATACAAGTAGTACATTTTCCACAGATCACACACAACTTCATATATATATATATATATATATATATATATATATATATATATATATATGTAGTACATATTTCATGGATCACACACACAAGAGAAATAAAAGTTCATATATAAGTAGCACACTCTCCATTAATCCTCCTCAATAGAAATAAAAGCTATTATATACATTGTACATTTTCCACCAACTCTATGTGCACGGATTTAGTCAATTGGACAATAATTTGTTTAAGAATTGATGTTTACTATAATTCTGAATTTAATGTATGAGCCTTCACAAAATTTGGCAAGCTTTCAGTAAATGTGAATCTGTTGTACAAAAAAAAAATTAGAATTTTTAATAAACTATTTCTCCTGACGCTACATCTGAGAACTTACAAAGCCTTTACTAAACCAGTTTGAGTAAAGAATAATAAAACTACTTTCATCCTACAGTTTTCTTAACCACTAGAACCTCTTAAATGAATATCAGAGTTTTTCTCTGTAAAACTTTAAATTGTATCTTATTTTCTTCCCTAACACTATCAAGATCATTCATTGTAAAATTTGAAAAATATGAAATAAAATTAATACTTTTTTAGAACAATCGCAAATTGTAGCAGAAAATTACAATTATTTATTCTCAACAGCCTTAGCTCATAACAGTTTGGATCTGTTTTATACTCTGTGAACCATGTCTAACTAGTATCATAAAGCAATAAATCACCCAGTGAGTTGAGTGCATGTTACAGTAAACAAAGTATTGAGATAAAACTTTACATCAGAGGGATCATAGCTCAATGCATTTCTCTGGAATAATTTTTTTCATATAGCCTAATAAGTTTTTAATTTTTACATTTTTATTACTTTTGTTAAAAAATATATTACAATAAATGAAAATATACATAAAAATCAAGCTTTGAAGGCTTTTGCATTCAGGTGCTTGGTTTAGTAAGCCTATTTTTCTTTCTCACTATGTTGGTTGTCCAAAAATAATTTGTGTAACTTTCAGATATTCATTTTAGAAAACAAAACTATATTACAATGTACACAAAACTACTGCACCATATGTGGCTTTCTAACTAACCAATAAAGAGGTTAAAATTTTATTACTTCTCAAAGCAACTTCTTCAGTCCAAACACATCAGTTCTCACAGCAATTATTATAGCATTGATTCTGCTCTTGTTATTAGTTATAAACATGTCCAATAGCAATGTCAGAGAGAAGTATAAACTTTTCTAAAAACAGAAGCTATGGCAGGGGTGTCAATGGTGGATTTAACAAATATAATGATATCTCAGTAAAGAAAGAAGGGGTTGAAATTTCATATTCTGTCTTGTCAATATCTATAGTATGTATTTCTAACTGGTTAATAATCTTAAGCCCTTGTAATGAAAAATAAAAAAATCTATAATTGAGAAGTCACAGTGCTACCAAGTCATGCAAGTCTGAAAGGTGTAGATTGATAATTTATTAAAATACATCACTTTAAAATTATGAAATTAAAACTTTAAAAAATATATAAATTTGAATTATAGACTACATTTCATGCCAATTTTATTGACATACATTGATAATAAAGTAGTTAAATTAAATTTTAATGTAACTCTATAAAAAAAAAGTTGCAACACACACTTTGACCCACCCATAACCATAGGGTTAATTCTCCACAAGAAACATAAAAGTTTACAAGTTTATAAATACAAAGAACATTTTAGATGGAAAATAAAACTTTCCAAAAGGCAAGAGCTCCCCAGTTCCTGGAACAAAAGAGAGGAACAGGAAAGTTAAGAAAGAGGAAGCTTCAGGTAGAAAAGTTTAATACCTTTTCCCCTATCCCTAAAAAAAAACAACAACAAAAAATATAGGATTTGTTTATTTGTTTATAATTAAGCACAAAGCTACACAATGGGCTATCTGTACTTTACCCACCACAGGTATCAAAATCCAGTTTCTAGCATTGTAAGTCTACAGACATACCGCTGTGCTACTGGGGGGCCAAACATGGGAATAATGAGAAAAATAATAAATGCTATAGAGAAATAAAATATGACAGTAAAAGAAATTAGAAAAGGTTTCTTTAAGCTGGAATTTTCAAACATGAGAAAGAAGAGATATTTACATAAAAAGTGTTGTCACACTCATTAAACTACTTCAAAAGTTAATAATAATGAGGACAAAGTGAAAAGCCCTAGAAGAAAGAGCAATGATCACACAATAATATTTTGTTACTATTGAGATTACATCCATTAAATGCCCAAATTTGAAAACTTCAGAAAAATCACAAAACATCAACAAACGTAAGATTGGTGTATGACCTACTGTGAACAGGAGGTAACATTTCAGCAAAAGCCACATCATAAAAAACAGTTTACACAAAAAATCTGAGTAGTGGCAGCATTAAAAATTACCTTTTGAACCCACATGTCCATTTGAGCAAATGGGTGTTAAATTTTACTCGCAAGGAACTTATATTCATTTTTGATATTATACAGTGGATCAACTGTTTAATGATTATAAATATATGTTAAAGATTTATCTTCTTTTTCACCAAGGGTAAAATTCAAAAAAGAATCTACAACATAGAGGCCTAATGCTTCCTTAATTGGTGAAAAAGAAAACCATAGCATAAATTTATAATATTTAAACAGTTGGTCTGTTGCATAGTATCAAATAATGAATTAGGTGCAATGTCATAACATTATTCACATGAATTCTTTTATAAAAAATGAAATGCAAAGTTTAACAAAGAAAACACAGCTCTTAATGTTAGAAAATAAAATATGAACATTCAGTGACTTTTTAAAAGATATAATAACAAAGTTAACTTTTTCCTAATTTGAATATGGATAATCAGATAGATACTCACCTCTACACAGAACAGATAACTAATGTCCCACTCCACTGCTGAAAAGTTTTTGCACATGTATCAAGCCTTGAAACAAAACTCTCACCTCTACACATTATAACATGTACAGCATCAATCTGTGGTGCAATCAGCATTAGATTATAT